GGAGGAGAGGGGAGGAGGAGGAGCAGGAGGAGGAGGAGGAGGAGGAGGAGGAGGAGCCCAGCGTGCCGAGGGGTTCGTCAGCCGCGCTAGCCACGGGGCGACCGCGCCTTGTCGACACCGAGGCCGACGAGAGGCGAGGCGGGTCGTGCGGGGGCGGGCCTGGACGAAGCAGCTGCACAGGTCGGCGTCGTTGCCGACGGGGCGGCCAGCGGCCGAGACATAGTTTCAATCAGAGGCTGGTGAGAGGAGAGCGGTGGCGGCGGGAGCCGCGGCTGGCGGAGGGGGAGGAGGACAGGCGAGACGGCAGAGGGCAACAGCAAGGCAGTCTCGAGCGGAGGAGGGGACGGGGAAGAGATGGGGGCGGTCGAAAAGATATAGCGGCGAGTGCGCCCAGCAGCTGGGGTGCACGAGATTCGGGTGGGTGGGTCAATCCTGAGACCGTGGGGAAAATTCAGAGAGGCGTGGTCACTCGATGGGTCGGGCGACGGGGTGACGGCGGGAAACAGGGAAGGCACAAACGCGGAGGGAGGGGGGGCAGGCGGGGGGCAAGCAGAGGCAGGGGCAGAGCTCAACGGAGCGAGGGACGAAGGGAGAGAGGAGATGGAAGCTCGCTCTAATATAGGCGCAGGATGCACGTGCAAGAGAGGCGAGATGACAGGATGAAAAGAGAAAATGTTCTCGACTGGGGGCTCATGACGGGAAAGCGATCCCGCCGCGGTACTGGGAGAGGCAGGATATAGCCTCTGGGAGCACGGAGACGCCGAGGGAGCACAGCAGGAGGCAATCCGCGAGGAGGAGGCCGCCACCCATGGAGCGGTCGGGGCAATCGACGACGTCAGAGTAGCCGGAATCGATGAGCAGGGCGGGCGCGGGGAAGACAAGGCCATAGGCGCCGTTGACAGTCCGTGAAGCGAGCGGCCGACCGCAATCGACACCACAGAGCTGGATGGCAGCGCCTCGCAATTTACTCGAGCCTGGGGCGGCGGGCTCGAGGAGCACCCACGGCCAGGACTTTGCGATCTGACACCGACGGAGGGGAAAGGCCGCGCCTCGAAATTTACTCGAGGAGCCTGGGAAGGCGGGCTCGAGGAGCACCCGCCACCAGGACTTTGCGATCTGACGCCTTCAGCACCAAAGACGGGAAGAGACCGAGCCAGCTCGTCGCAATTTGCTCCAGATGCCTGCTCGGGCGGGTTCGAGGGGCACCCCCTGGCAGGACTTGGCGTTCTGACAGCATGCACCACCGCATCAGGACGGAAGTCGAGCATGACGAGGTCGTCCGAGTCGTCCGCATCCTGCGAGGAGCAGGGAGATGATGATCCAGACGTCGCCGAAAGCGGGGGCATGGTCGCACTGCAAGAAGAGGAGGAGGAATAACTCGGCGACGAAGATGAACTTGAGGAGGAGCTTGCAGGTCGGGGCACACGAGGATGCCAGTGGGGAGCAAGTGAAGCTCGTTCCTCCTCCGACGCACGAGATGGGTGCGCGAGACGCATCGCCCTCACTCCCGCCAGAGCGCAGGCGTGGATCTGCTGTGCAGAGAGCGGCCACTCACGGATGGTGCGGGCCTCGTTGTACATGTTGTACGCGGCCGTGAGCAGCGAGAACGAGGAGAACGACGGAGACGCCAGACCCCAGCGAGAAAACCATTCGAGCGGGAAAGGACGTGCCAAGGCCCGTCTGAGAGCACGGTGCATGGGTGGGCATCTCGCATAGTGACGGAGGGGGTCGAATCGCTGCATGCATCCGAACGCACAAGGTCTCTGCGTGATGGATGCCACAGCCAAGTGCGCCCATCGGATGGCCCTGGGCGCCCCCCACCTCTCCAGCTGCACCCACGCGTCGAGACCGAAGGTGCCGAGAGGAAGACGAAATACTTGGGCCAGCACTGCCAGCTCGGGTTGAAGGACCGAGCGCGGGATCCAGGAGAACTGTGCAACGTACGAGAGAGTAGTAACAGCACGGGAATTGTATAACTGGGCGGACTGGCTGGCGTGAGTGGTGCCACGGCCAATAGCTTGAGCCCGCAAACGCAGCTTGGTGAGCGGGTCGGCCCACGAACGATCGGGAGCGGCCCCAGGACCCAACCAGATGCCCAGGTAGAGCAGACAGTCGACCACCTCAAAGGAGGACCACTCGGGGACCCAGTAGGAGATCTCCTGGAGGACGCGGGTGGCGAGCTCGGGGGAGAAGGGCCCGCAGAGAGGGACCGCCTTGCACTTGCCGGCCTTCAACGCGAGGTTGGCCATGCCAGAGGCCTTGGACATCACCCCGAAGACACGAACGAGGTCGGCAATCGCGGAGAGCGCGCCCCCAATGTCGTCCGCACAGGCCCGCACGAGGCCAGACAAGGGAAGCTCAACCACTTGGACCAGCTCAGAGAGGAAGGCAGCCGTACTGAACGCAAATGACGAACCCGAGAGAGCGCAGCCCTGAATGATGCCGCTGTCAATCCAATAAACATGTTCCAGAGTCCCCTGCACCATAGCAACCCCGTCGATCGCAGCGCACAGGAAAGCGACGAAGCCGAGGAAACGATCAGGGAGCCCGAGAGTCCGAAGAGCGAGGGTCATGAAGCCTTGGTTCAGGGACGGGAAGGCCTGGCCGAAGTCCAGGGAGTACAAGAGCGGGATATCCAGGGAACCATGGGGAATGACCGAGAGCATCCTGGCCGAGGCGTCGAGCTCGATGATATTCTCACCGAAGTTGCGGCGGGGGATGAACCCGCGCTGGCAAGAGGGGATGAGGTCCAGGGCAGGGCGAACAGCACGATTCATCGTCGCAGAGATGAGCTTGATGTCACAATTCCTAAGACCGAGGACACGAACTTTGTCTGGGGCCCGCTCGCAGCCCCCTGATTGCAACTCGTTGTCAGTGACATTTTTCGGCAGGAAGATCTGAATAGTGTCCGATGCAGAGGCGAACAGGAACTGGCCATCTCCGATCCACTCGAGAGCACCCAGAGAACCTCCACAGCAATAATTGGGTGAGCCTGCCACGCAGCATGTGGAAAAGCGTCGGGGCCAGGAGCGGAATGTTGAGCGCCACGAATAGCAGCACGGAGCATGGCACGGGAATGTGGGGGGAGATGAAGATCATCAGCACGGGGCAGGAGACGATGGAGGTAGGGGCGAGCAGCGTCTTCATCCCAAGGCTTCTTCCTGAAAATGGGGCCCCAGTAGTCGGTGAGGGCCGTCAACCGCTGGGGCGGGTCGGAGACAGTCTCGCCGCTCGCAAGACGAACACGCGAGAGAGAGACCCGACGATTCAGAGGTGACCACAATCTCGCTCTGCGCTCCAAGGCTCTGATCTGAAGTCTGATTTGAGCACGGTCCCCCAGACGACGACGGCGGGCTTCCAATTCCTCCATGGCGGCGGCCGCCGCATCAGACTGGATCTCATCGACCCAGGCATGGAACGAAGGAGGGTGCATCAGCTCAACCTTGCCAGCCCGCGCAACGATCATGTCCACAGCCACGCGATGTGATTCCTGAAGGCGGCGTGCAAGTGGAACGTCTTGACGCCAGACAACTCGTGCCAGTGCTCGTGCAAGCTGGAGAAGGGTGCGGGGATGATGAGGGCGAGCACGGAAGAGACGATCCCGAACTTCGGCAGAGGCGATTTTCAGCAGCTTTTTGTAGTGCTCGAGCTTGACGGGCGGGGACATCTGGGACCAGTCGGAGGCTTTGATGAGGCCCTCGAGGCGCTGCTTGAACGCTGGCTCGTGGAAGATGCGCTTGGGAATGGCTCGCTCGCCCAGAACCCAGGGAGCCCTGGAGGCGAGAGAGATCAGCACGGCGGCATGGTCCGAGACGCATCTGCCCGACACTAACGCAGCCGAATCGACAGTCGACGCCTGAACCACAAGTTGACACATCTGCCATCCCGAAAGCGGGCAAAAGAATCGATCGATGGACGATTCAGCATTCTCAGCACGCTCATAGCGCGATGGGGCGTCACTTTCAATCTCAAGCAGCGGGGCAAGAGCATCCCGCCACTGCGGAGCGCGGGCGTGGTGCTGCCGCGCGCTCCGCCGCGCAGCCGCTGCGGGCATATGCAGCAGGACGGACTCGTGCGGGGAAAAATTGAAGTCGCCATTGACCGCGACCATGCGCGAGTCTGGTGCCCGCTCAGACGCAGCCCGAGCAGCACGGATATCTCGTGCAACACGAGCGACTTCTGCCAAAGAAAGACCATGACTGTGCACGTTGTACACCTGAAGGCACACATCTCCCAAAGATATATCAACCCGAAGAACGCGCCCAGGAACGAGAGGGACAGGCGGATGGGCGACAGCACCAGGATGGAGGGGAGGAAGTACGACTGCGACGCCCCCACGGATGCTGCCGCCAGCGTCAGCGTCACAAAAGCCAGAACGCACAGTAAGATCACGTGCCACTGTGCCCAGGAAAGAGACAAGTTGGCGATGATCCTGGTGGACCTCCTGGAGGGAGAGGGCCGTCTCAGACAGGCGGAGCTTGATGAGGTACTGGCGCTTCAGATCTGCGTTCTCTCCTCCAGCTTGCAAGAGCGCCCTGGCGTTCCAGGAGACAAAGCGAAGCGGTCTCGCCGATGAGGAAGAAGACGGCGAGGAGGAGCGAAAGAGGGGGCACGCGCTAAAGAGACCACTGGCTGGTCTCGACTGGGTGGGAGATCTCCTTGGTCGCCTCGCGGAGGCGGGCGACGTCCATGTGGTTGTGCTCGAGCTTCGGGATGTCCCAGTAGATGACGGGGGGGGCGCCCCCCGAGGCGACCTCGATCTGCATGGCCTTGTCCCAGCCAACCAGCAGGGCGCCACGCTCACGGTCGGAGTAGAGCCGCTTACCAAGGTAAGCCTCTTCCACCAGTCTGCGCGCTCGACGGAGGACGATATCCTGCTTGATCTGCTTGGGGCTCTTGTCGGGGCCGAGGTGGATGCGGCAGTGCACATCTCCAGGCGGGGTAGTCCAAAATTATTTCCATTCTTTGCCTTCGCGTAAGTTGGCAAGGACACGGTCGACCTTGCGGGAAGCGACCCCGACGGGGCCCTTGAACTTGATCTCGAATCGCTTGCATGGGACCGTGCCTTTGGCAGCGATCTGGTAGTCGTTGTTGGCACTCTCAAAACCGATGGAGGACAGCCAGGGAGCCAGCACCTCACGAACACTTTCCAATGACGAGGGGCGCTGGGAGATAGCCACCACCATGGTCGTGTCAATGTCGCGGTTGAAGCCAGCGGGTACTTGAGACTGGGGGCGAGGACGAGCCTCAGCGAGAGCGAGTTCTTTCCTGAGCTCGGCCATCTCCCGACGGATGTCCACGAGGTCCTGGTCGTGTTTGGCGATGCTGGAAGTGTGGGCGTCGATGACGCCCTTCTGCTGGTCGATCTGGGCCTGCAGCCTGCGCGACAGGGAGTCCAGCTGCGGTGTGGCGACCTTGCGCACATCGGCCTCGAGGGTCTCGGTGTGGGCTTGAACCAGGGCTCGGAGGTTCTCCACAGCAGCGAGCAGGGGCTTGTTGCTCTCGGCGGCGGTCTTGGCAATGGAGTCGCCAAAATCCTCTTTGATGGAGTCAAACTCGGCACGGCACAACTGGCGAATGAAGTCTTCGTAGCCCTCGGGCATCTCGTCGTCAAGGGCGGGAGGCAGCTCAGCATCAGCGTCGTCATGAGGAGCCTCGCCAGGGAGGGCACGACGTTTCTGCGGATTGGGGTCGGTGAAGCGAGACGGAGCAGCTCCTTTGCCTTGAACTTTTCCTTTGCCGGACTTGACCTCCTGGGACGGGAAGGTCGGTGCATCCTCCAGCTGCTCGAGCTGCGAGGTCGTGAGCTCATCACCGCGAGGGCTCGCCACCATCACAGCAAGTTGACTGGTCGAGGGAAGAGACGGTGCGGGGGCCCAACTCCCGCGGTAAAGGCACAGAAGAGCGATCAGAAGACTGATGAGCGGGCTGGAGAGTGGCCTCAAAGCGGAACCTCCCTCGCGCTCAGGTGTCGCCCCGAAAGACCCGCGGTCGTCGGGACGGTTCATGTCCTTGAGCCAAAATGGCTACGGAGGAGGAGGAGGAGGAGGAGGAGGAGAGGGGAGGGGGGGAGGAGGAGGAGGAGGAGGAGGAGGAGGAGGAGGAGGAGGAGGAGGAGGAGGAGGACGAGGAGCAGGGGATGTATGAGAACCAACTGCAACGGCAACCGACGCTGCCAGCGGCATGCCCTATGATACCGGCAGGACGACGAAAACGAAGTTTACGACATTTTAGACCAGAGAAACCTCGGTCTGCTTTTCGGCCAACTCTTGCGCAAACGTTCGGCCAACTTCGCCCGTTTAGCCCCGCGCACCTACGGGTACTCAGGCCAGGGCAGCTCAGCGGAAAACCGCCGAAAGCAAGTTGGGCCGAGGCGAAGACCAGAGGTCCCTTCATGATCGGCACAACTGTAAAGACAAGCAGCTCAGCAGGCGGGGGGGGTGGACATCGCAGCAGCGGCACTGGCGGTGTCAGCCAATGCCCAGCCATCGGCGGCCACTGCTGCGGCACCAGCGGCACCACAGCGGCACCGGCGGCCCCACTGATCTTTGAATTCCGACGTCACGAAACAAGCTTAACATCTCACAAAACCTCGACCAGAGCACTGGACCCCATCATTCCCGCGGCAATTTTCGTGCTCGATCGATCCGTGAGGGTCCCGTGGCCAGATACACGGCACCCGCCTGGAAGTATCTTGGCGAAGGACCCAAACATATGCAGCTGTGAGCACCGCATTGTGGGTACCGCTCTCGGTGGAACCCCCTATGCGGCCACGATCCTCATGAGGGGTGTGCCGCAATGGGCGGGGGGACGCATGCAAACCCTGCCGCTGGGGCCTTCGGTGGAGCTCCCTATGGGGCCACGATCCTCGTGAGGGGCGTGCCGCAATGGGCGGGGGGACGCATGCAAACCCTGCCGCTTGGGCCTTCGGTGGGACTCCCCATGGGGCCGCGATCCTCATGAGAGGTGTGCCGAAATGGGCGGGGGCTCGCATGCAAACCTTGCCGCTGGGGCCTTCGGTGGAGCTCCCTACGGGGCCGCGATCCCCGTGAGGGGTGTGCCGAAATGGGCGGGGGGACGCATGCGAACCCTGCCGTTGGCCTTCGGTGGAGCTCCCTATGGATGGGGCCGCGATCCCCGTGAGGGGTGTGCCGAAATGGGTGGGGGGACGCATGCGAACCCGGCCACTGGGGCCTTCGGTGGAGCCCCCTATGAGGCCACGAAACGCTGTCCTTGGTGGCGGTGACGCATGCGGGCCCTCGCACCGGAGCCTTCGGTGGAACTCCATATGGGGCCACGAAACGCTGTCCTGGGTGGGTGAAACGCAGGGAAGTGACGAGGCGGATGGGATGAGGGAGGGGGGGGAGGAGGAGGGGGAGGAGTGAGTGAGCGGGACGCGGGGCGCTGTCTTTTCAAAACGAAAACCCAACACCAAAGTTGGTTGGGAAAAACATTGCGACGCCCGGACCCCTGGGTACCGCTGCGGCATCGGCGGCACCA